GACTTTTCTGAATCTGATAGTTCAAAATCAAATTTTGCTTTGCATGTAGGGCAGAAATAATCAGTACTTCCAAGATCCTGAAAGAACAAAACTTGTTTAGGTGTGGGAAATCGCCGAGAGAGAGTGAGCATAATGAACAAACCTTGAACAGGTTGCTTGAAATTTTGTCACACTCTGCATGCACCCATACTTTACAACCATCACAACGAACCTATCACAGAGAAGGTTTGGAGGATAAATCAGATTGTCTGCATCTTTAAGAATAATGATAAAAGTCAAATCCGGAGTTCTCCGGCAAGTTCACGCACCCAACTACCACTATCTGAATGATTCCAAATCTTTTTGCATATGCCACAATAATGTTTTGAATTTGTCAACTGCAGACAAAAAAGTAAAATTTACTTTTAGCACAAAGAAACCACAACATGATATAAATTTAAATTTAATGGTAATATTGCTTGTAGAAGGAGGTTCAAGTTGAAAGGAATTTCTTCCAACGAAAGCATGTTATACAAACCCTTGTGCATGATTTACATAAAAATTGACTTCCAGGAGGTGAAGCCTTCATTTTCTTCGCCAATTTAACAGGAAGTGTTTGGCCACAGCCCTCACAACAGCCGTCTTTCTTTTTCGCATACATTTCCTGCACATTGTGATTAAATTGTTGAAGTACAACTAGGGAGGGAGCAAACTCATTTATTCCATCACCAGAGGGGAAGCAGGTGCAATTTCTTAAACTGCTAGTAGACAAAGCATATGCATCGAAATGTTATGTTGGATCAGAAATTTATCAAATAGAATATACCTTCATAACGAAAGGGAAAGGGGAATGGGTAGACGCCTAAAAGTTCCTTCAATTGACAAAAACAAAGTTCACGAAGATAACATCTTATTATGTTCAATCTCCCACGATGGAACGAGTATTTGAACACTATTCTCATGGAAGAGGACTACAGAACAAACTACTGACTACATAACTCGATTATTTATGTTCTTCTTCAAGGTTGCATCTTTTCACGCACTTGCAAGCAGAGTATTAGTACATCAATCAAGTATCAACCTCTGAAAATCCAAAAATAAGGCATGCAAGTTTTGTAGTGCTTCCTTTCTACATATACTTCACCATCCACAGATTAACAAACCGAGGCATTATGCCAGAAATCAACAGGCCAAACAGTAGCATAAGAGAAGATTCCGAAGTTTACACAAATGTTTAAGATCAATACAGAATATATTATTTCAAATTATATTTTCCTCAGCAACTACAGAATGCAGATAATGGAGGAAAATAAGATAAGATAGCAGTACCTTAATGCAACTAGTTCGCTTAGGAGGAGAATGGCAGTCAGGATCCTGGTTAGAACCAGTAGCTTCCTGAGTCCCTCTAAGAAGAAATTCATCAGCAATCGTATTTCCAGCTGCCATATTAATATCTGCTATCAATTTTTCTGTAAACCCACGTTCTGCCAAGAAAGCTTCGTCCATTGCGATCTGGAACTCATTGGGTTTGCATCTATCCAATTCTGACTGTCCTTGAAACCTAGAACATGAAAACTTGGCTGAGCACGGAGTTCACTAAGAAATGTTCTGACAAATAACTGAAGAGCTATACCTGTCTATAAAATCCATAAATGGAAAAATCATCCCCCGCCTCACCCATGCATAATCCTGCTCATGATCATATAAAGTTACACAATGGAGAGCCACATTCTTCCATAAATAGAAACGAAGAGTCTATAACTGCCTTTTTTCCCTAAAAAAGAAACTTCTACTTAATTATCATTACCCTTTGATTTTCGTTCCCTGAATATCCGAAGAACATAACACAAGCTGCATCTGCAACACAAGCTCTTAAAACTAGTTCAGGCGCCTGCGTTATAGGATCAATGACAATGGCGGGCCAAAAAGGCTCCTTCCTCCCTGCCTTCGCCCATACAATATCACCAGAGTAGAAGTCTTCAGGTCCATACAAGCCATCCTTCGGTTTAGTTTCCTTTGGACTCCCATCTTCACCACCCACATCAACCGGGAACTTCTCGTCTTCAACAACAGTCTCATGTACGGAAGTTAACGAACTGCGAGAGCTAGAATACTTCCTGAAATCGAAATTCTTGAACTCCGCACCTGCCGCTTCATCTTCCTCTTCCTCGCACAATGCCGGACACTTGACAAACTTGAAACCAAATTTTTCCCCGTTGTGTACTTTCTTGGTAGTCCCGTTACAAATTCGAGGAGTCTTGAAACTGAATTTCTCCTTTTTACATTTGAATTCTTCATCGAAGCTGTAATCACGCAAGCTAATCTTGCTGTCTTTTCTCCAATTCTCAATAACGGAATCGTTAAACCGAGAAGGAAGTACCTGGACCCGTCCTCTCGACGTCCTCACAAGGGGCGGTCGCGGGACCTCTGCCGCCGGTTTGGTTGGCGTCGCTCTTGCCAATGATTCTCGGCTATTCGACTTCGACTCCATTTCCACGGGGGAGCACGATATGTGGGTACACCATGAGGCTGCAATCCCCTTGTTGGTGGTGCCCAGAATGTCGTGAAGCTTGAAAGGGATTATTCCAGCCGCAACCTCGCCGAGAAGATTAAGTGGGTAATAACCGTTGAGCTTTCTCTTCTTCCTCGCCGCGGAGCTCTCGTCGTCTTCACCAGCCGAGTCGCCGAGTTTGCACCGTTTCAGATTCGGCATTTGGGATTTCAGATTGCGTTTGATTATCATTTTGCCCGAACGATAAACAAATTCCACTTCAACTATGAAATGCCAATTTGAAGTTTACATTTACAGTAGAACCCCAACTGGTCAAATTCGCATAAAACCCTTTTTCCCTCAAATTGGGCCGAGAACAGAGCAATGGAAACAATTGAACAGTAAATCACCACTCTAAAAAGACGGGATTTGGGTTATACGCTAAGAGAAGAAAGAAACGAGATAATCGAATTGCCAGAGCCTGTATGAATAGGGATCTGTTCGAGGGAAACTCCCGTACTCTCTCTCTCTCTCTCTCTCTCTCTCTCTCTCTATCTCTCTAACTGGGTCAGAGCACAGAAAAGAAAGAAGAGAGAGAGAGATAATATTTAATAATAATTACTCCCCAAATACCATTCTCTAATTGTAAATAAATTATCCTCCTCTGTTTCTTTTTGGGTTGTCAAATAATCCGTTTTGGAGTGAGAAAAACAAGAGGGCTGGTGACAGACACAATCCATATGAGGACTAAGGAGAGAGATATCATGTGTTTGTGTAGAGGCGATTAATTTTACGTATAGTATGCGCGTCGATCGGGGCTGAGCTGAGCCTATATGGCGTGTTGCCGCAGCAATCTTATTCATGGCTTTCCTTTTCTTCACTTCTCTAATCTCTATACTTGTTTTTGTTTCGATTCACAGTTAGAGAGATGTGGCGCTTAGGCTTACCCACTTCATATAATCTTCAAAAATATATCAACTTTTACCACTTTTTTCTCTCCTTATGTGCATTGAACACCAAAAACAAAGTGAACCAAATTTTGATTTTTCTCATTCGTACAACGGAAGTTCGTTACTTTATTGGGTTCATGGATTGGATCGCTTGTGGGTCGGGTTCAAATTCTTGTTCAAGCAATTGGTTTCGGGGTTTTGCTCCAAGTTACTAACTCGCCGGAGCTAAGAGAGGAGAGAGAAATTTGATGGTCTGTGGAAGTGGGCAATGGCAAATTGGGCATGGGGAGAGACTGGAAATTTCGATTTAAAAGGAAGGGTGGTGCGAGGAGATAGAATTGAGAATTTTCCCACCATTTTCTTGGAGGGGTATTTTGGTATTTTCGATCTCTAAACCCTTCAAATGGAGTTGACTCTTGAAATGCTACTTGTGCAACTGCAAATAAAAAAGAAGGAAATTTTGTTCCTTGATTTGCCCTTTTGGATAGATGATCAGATTTTGGTAAAAGAGTTGGAGTTGGAGCAAGGCGGGTTCAAATTTGTGAAGGTGCCATTGCCATGCCATGGCCCCAAGACAGAGAATGAAAACCTGGAAGAGTACGAATACGACGACGTTTTGCAGGTTTCTCTCCAATGCCAATGTCGGGTCACGTGAAAAAAGAATAAAATAAGAATACATCTGATGGAACTAACTCAACTGAACTTTGCTCGCCGTCGTTTTAATGGTTTCTTTTTTCTTTCTTTTTGGTTGAGATTGGTTGAGAAGAAGAAAGTTGTCTCCTTTTTGTGTGTTTTATTGAAAACCCAGAGAAAATGGATAGACATCTCACATCACTGATGGGTCTCTCTAATAGATTGGCCCTAAGAAGTTTGGGCACCTTCTTTCTCTCTCTAAAAAGTGCTCTTTCTCTCTCCAAAAAATGCTATGCTGACTGAACTGGTTGGTATAAACATTGATTTAGATGCACTCTGTGGGGATAACGAAACAAAATCTCCATTAACTTCATCTAATCAATACAGTAATTACTGATCACGAAGAAAAATGGATATGATTTGATACATTGGCTGCAGCAATGAGACTGACAAAATCAAATTACGGCTTCTGCTCTGAAACTGATTGGTCTGAACAAACATTGAAGCAATAGAGAGTTGTATACGAGAAGGTAATATTTTGGTTCTGGCCTATTACAAGGTTGGATCAATCTGAAGATTTTAATCATCTGGAAGAGAGTACGAAGCAGAGCAGGACTGGAAAATGAAATATTTCATATACAACCAGAGTCTGAGATTTCCTAACAACCATCTTCGAAATCTAGGAAGGTGTTTTTTGAAGCCACGGCAGACCCCAAGCTACACCCTTTCCTAGTATGAAATCATAGAAAAAGAGAAGATCATAGTGAATCATCTCGCTTGGTGTACGTCTAATCTCTATTGTTTCACATAATCTGGTGTAGACAAGAAGTCGTTTGAGGAAAGTTCAAGTAAATTCGCAACATTCCGGTGCCAATCAATGAATTCAGTCACTCGTAGAAACTAAGTTCAGGATATGACAAGAATTTGGCATGGCAGAGGACACTGTAGGCTCTAGAATAGCATGGCATGGCACGCCCATCTTATACAAAGTTAATAAACAAAATAGAACTTTTATTTCCTATTTTATTCAACGGATAATATATGTACAAATCTAGGCAACCATTTTAGTCTACAGAAGATACTAACACAAATCATAGAAGACAAAATACCCTACAGGCTTCTGGTTTGTGGATTTATTGGGTAAGATACAATCTGAACTTTCCACAAACTTTATTTCCATTGCTTCTGCTAATCTCTCCCACACCCTCATCAGAACTAGCTTCGTTCCTATATTCAATATTGCTTTTTATTTTTATTTTTTATTTTTCATAGAACAAGCATTGAGATTGAGCTACTGCCCTTCACTTCAGATTCATCGGTCTTCGCAAACCTTCCACGGATTCTAGGTTGATTGTCTGCAAGAGCCTTCCTGCAAGCATACTGAAAACCAGAGCATATAATCAATTTGTGAAGAAGAATTCATAAACTTTAAAAACAGTGGGTGCACATATATGTGTATTACATGCCTCACAGGGTAATTTATTGACAAGTTTTTCATGATTTCAATTGAAGCAAAGTTTTCTCTTTCTTTACCTTGATTTTTCTCCCAAAATTCCTCTTTGTCTTCTTATTCCTGTAGCGGGAAAGCTTTTCGCGGCGTTCCTCGCTGGTACAATTGCTGAACAAGGGCCGCGGAGAATGAATCATGCCTATTTTGTCATTGCTGAGTGTCTGTCAAAATATTCACATATTAAAGATCTACCAAGTCCAAAGGCAGAAACAACTAACCATTGTTCTTGAATGTTATGCAGGCAAAAAAATGGCTTACTTAAGGAGACAGATCAGTGAAAAGCAGAAGACTAATACAAGGATATAGTGCCGGATCAGGACTTTGGAGCAGAACTATCTATATCCAAAATAACCACAGTAAACAATAAGGTTTCAGCTAAATTTTTCGTCAAATCATCTTGCTTGATTGCTTATTTTCATGATATTCTCAGGTGCGAGCGCCAGAAAGTTATGGCCATAACTAACACTATTTAGCACAGAAGAGATGGAGTATGAAGATTGTTTCTCTGAGTATACTGGTCGTGATATGTTAAGATTTACTTCTTGGTAGACCATTCAATAATCAGAAATCCATAGCTAGCATATACATGTCAGGCCTTCCTTCCATCAAGCCTCCGACTCGTTCTTCGAGCATTCGAGCACTCATAAAAAGTTGTCACTAGGGAAAAGATTTGAGTTAATTACCCACTTTTTTCATACTACAAAATTTTCAATGTGTACTTCCAGTAAAATGATGAACATACTTTACAATCATCAACATCAAATGTGATTTTTTATTTAGTTATGTCGGCCAAAATCTAAATAATATGCAGGAAAATTAAAAAGGAAAAAACAGTAAGAAGTCTAACCTTAATATCTCCATCACTGAATGCCCTCCTCATCCCAAAAACAGAACTGAAATCCATGCCCGAAAAATCTAGAAAACTTGGTTTGATAGTAGGTCCTTGCATCAAATCCATTGAGCTTAAGCACCCCGAGCTGGTACTTTTCTGGATTGAGACATCAGGAAATGGTTTGTTTTCTGGAATTTGAGTTTCTTCTGGGTTCAGAACTGGAATTTCGATGTTCAGGACTTGAGGCAGTGGTGTTTCTAATGCAGCTTTTTCCAAAAGATCCTTTTCACACTCATAGTAGACCTCATTTAACAGTTGATCATTTTGAAGCGACACAAAGTCTGAAACTTTGAGTCCTTCTGGAGAGATGACTTCTTCACCACAAGATATCATTGAAATGCCTGCCATCACAGGATTAAGACCTATGAAAGGTTCTTCAATAAATGGTTGTGGGGCTTCAAAGAGATCTCCTTCACCACCCATATCATATTCACAAATTGTGGGTATCTGCATTATATTAAAGATATGAGGCTTAATAAGTATAGATCGATTGAATCTGTGCCCAATTTAGACTGCAATATGGAGAAACTTATGTTCTGATGAAAGGTTAAAAGCTTAAGATAAGATTATTGCTTTATTTTTATAGGGAAAGATAAAGATAAATTGTTTTAATTCTCTAACTCAGAAACCATGCTATTTTGAAAGCATGATATCGGTTAACCTTTGAGGTAAAAGGAAAAAGGGAGCATAAAAGCTACAAGAACCAAAAATGAAGTTGGAACTTAGAGGTCTTTTGGCCAACAATAGGAAAAACAAATAGACTCCTTCGACTAGCTATGAGAAGTCTTCTTAAGAGTCCAAAGATATCCATAGTTTCTTTTTCTGAAGTCAGATTCCGCACTTTTAGCAGAAGAGGATATAGACCAACCTTTTCGGGCAAAATTTTTCCTTTTTCCCTTTCCTTTCTCTAGAGAGTTTTACTTCCAAATAGAAGTCACTGAAAAAAAATGGAGGTGGAGATTTTATTCTCTTAGAAGCTTTTTCACAAACGGTAGGAGTGCAGCAAGTGCGGCTAGAAAGTAACATTCTAGCAAGTAGTTTACAGATTAGAATGAGACAAAAATGGAAGAATGACTGTAGAACACGAAACCCCAAGACTGAAAAGAAGAGTTCTGCCCATTATATTCCTTTCTATTTCTATCAATATTTTTGACATCCAGCATGTAAAGCAGAAACAGCATATTGCCATTACAAAATGAAAAAGTGACAAAAGAATTCCTTTATCGGCTTTGTTTTCACACCCATCCCACTCATGAACCATTTAGGACTTAAAACAGTACATGTCGACCAAAACTTCCCCTCATTTTTTCCCATTAACCAAACAGGGCACTGAAATAATTAACCAATCAACACAGAATTGCCTGAGTAATGAAACCCAGTTCCCATACTATACTATCTCACGTTCATTACAAACACTTCAACAAGCTTGTATCTTCCCTTTCCACTTCATCCCATTTCAACAGAAAGCAGAGCAGATGAATTAAATGTTCATACTAAAGTTCAAAATGGAAGAACACCCAGTATCCAAAACTGAAATTTCTGTGGAAATCAGCTTAAAATGAACTCAAACAGTGCAAAGAAAATGCAGACCAGATGAACCCAGAAAGAGCAGTAAGAGAAAACAGAGAAATGGAGGGAAGTAGTACCATTGGAGAAGAACACGGCAGGTTGGTTTTGCAGAAATCCTCAAGTTGTTGGAACTGAGAGAAGTTCTGAAAGTGAGGAAACAAAACCCCATTCTCCGCAAACATTTTCTTGTACACAATGAAACCGAAATCTTCAGCTTGAAGAGAAACGGCTCCTCCAAAAGGTTTAGGAGAGGAAACAGAGCAGCCAGAGAAGCAGAAGCAAAAGGGGCAAGTGGGTTTGATCGAAAGCTGAGAAAGAGAGGAATTTATACTTGTATTTCAATGGGAGAAGTTAATTTGGTGGCTGAATTTAAGGCCCCCCTGATGATGATGATGATGATGTAATGAGGCTTCAACATAATAAAATAAAATAAAGACAAAACAAGGGAAAGGACATTATTTATAATGCAACAGTCGCATTGCCCCCTCTCTATCGTCTCAATTTCTCCTCAATACTTTCGATATTTTATTATTTCTTTTTGCGAAAAATTGTTTCTTTTAATGATTCCCATGCCATTTAACAACCATACAATACGAAATTTTTGGAGTGAGTTTAAAGTTCCAATTTTGAACTTTCATATAGTTTTCATGTACGTATAATTACTTTTTTAAAACAGAAAAATTCAGACTTTGACAGTAAAAGACGTTCTACTACTTTATTTAACATTTTATATATTTTAATTTGAAAATCCCAAAATAGGGGAAATTAATGAAATTATTTATCCGTATAAAAATATTTGTATTCTTTTGTGTATAGCATAAGCATGGTATAGATTGGATAACATGTCTTTTTGGACGAAAAATAATAATAATAATAATAATAAAGAAAAACTTTTTTATTTCTTGGAAGTTGCTGAAGGTGAGTTGTGGACAACCCAATAGAATATGGGTCCAAATTCCGATGGAAGTATATTCACGCGCTATTGAGGAGCGTGGGGATGCCGATTTATACGATCCTGTCACATTGTTTTTTTGTTCACTCTCTGTCTATTTTCTGCTATATATTTTTGGCAATTACCTTATTCTTAATTTCTTATTCATTTTCTACATATTATTTATTATTTAATTTAACTCAACTTCACCATATCCATCCCCATTCCCACCTCTTCATTTTGTTCTTACTTTTATATTTAATTTTTGATAGAATAGAACATTCAACACAAATAATTAAATATAGGATTCTAAAATAAATGTTAAGCCTAAGCGAACTCTTTAGTAGTTAGGTAGCTAGACCATGATTTTATTATTTGAAAGAAATAGTTAGGTACACATATAAGATCTATATTATTGGTATTGTTCTTTTTTTATTAGTTAGTACAAACTTAGAAACTGATGACGTACACATATAACTTTCGTAGTGACGATAATCTCTAGAAATCTATATCACTTGATTATGGAGTGGATTTTTACTTTATTTTCTATATTTCATTAGATTTAACTTATAAATATGCTTCAATAATGTATTTTTACTTTATTTTCTATATTTCATTAGATTTAACTTATAAATATGCTTCAATAATGTAGGTAATGAGTTCTCATTGATTATGAGAAATATTTTAAATGAGGTAAGTGATGTGAAAGAAGTTGTTATGATTCCTCCCACTATTAGAAAACAAGTGTATTATTGTTGATCTTTTGATCTAAATATGGAAGAGCCAATTAGATGTAAAGGTTTAAAGTTTTGAGGCCCACCCTTTACCCTCATAAACCCACTTCAATAATTCTAGCTTTATTAGATATTTCTATATCAAATCTAAAAAATTTTCCACCACACTAAGCGATCCAGTCGTTGGTTAAGGCTATGTTTGGCCAAAAAATTGAGAGTTCAAATTCTCATCCGGCGTATTGATGTGGCTGTTTCTTGACTCATACTATTTTTTATTTTTTTGTTTTATGATGGTATATATATCTTTTAAAAAGGTAAACAAAGTGAACCATTTATCCTACAGAATCGTTTTCATAAATAGAAAGTTTCGTATACTACTATGATGCTACTTACATACATTGATAATTAACATTTAAAAGTTCCAATGATGAACATTTGGGAATATAATTTCTTTCTTCTTTTCAAGCCATAAGCATTCAATAACTCAATAAAAAAATTTCCTGTTTCCACATAAAAGGAAAAGACATTGAGTACATATATCATATCATTGAGTTGTCTTCAATTTATTAACCACTCTTATAAATTAATTAATTTAAATACAGTCAGTACAAGTTGCAACTTTTACCAAGGAATTAAAATATACTTTTTTCTACCATGCATGTAATGGTTTGTGAAAATGATAATTTTCTAAAAACTGAGCCATTACATTTAATCGGGTAAGAAAACGTATAACAATAAATTTTGTATATATAAAAAAGAAAGGAACGATTTTTGTCTTATAATATGGTTTGAGAAGCAATAGTAAATTGTGTGAGGCAAATGAGCCAATAATTAATTAAGATAAGATCTTACTCCTTTTAGGCCAAGAAAAGAGGCAAATGAAAAGAAAAGGGAATTAACAAAAAAGTGAAGTATAAATTAAAAGAGATGAATTATTGTTAACTTTGAAAAGGGAAGGTGGTGTGAAAGATATATAGATTCTGTGCTCCCAATTTCATATAAAAATAATAATAAAATACATATATATATATATATTGAAATTCTGTTTGGAAATGGCCAACTCCTCTTCATTCACATTTGGATTTTGAGTAACAGTATGGGATTGAGGTGTCCAATTGCTTTTGTCCTTTTTATCAAAGCTAAAAAAGATCCCTTTGCAAAAAGAGAAGAAAAAAATAATTATAACGGCATAAAACGACATTTCACGTGGCAAGAGATGAGAGGTTATTCAAAATATAACACCTCATATCTCTCTCAAGCTCATGAATCATACTTCGACTCCAGCTTACAGTAAAGACTGAATCGAGGTATCAAATAGAATCATTTCACTTACCACTATAGATGTGACCAATGAGTGAGATACATATGTCGACACTTATAAATACAAGGATACACTTCACACATCGAATTTGATTGTTATCTTGAGATGCATATCACAGATTGTGTCGATTTTGCATCGAAGCTATTTCCTTTTTTGTACTTCTCAAATCCAATTTCCTTGAGTTCTTGCACTGATCAAATTTCACTTTAAACAACAAGAATATAAATGATGCTCGGGATGACATGTTTGAGAGTGGTCAATAATAATTAACGACAATAAAATCAAAATTTTTCAAAAGATAATTTAACATGAGAGTCTTATTTTGTATTAATTATTAGAGAGTAGTTTTCATCGTCTTAAAATAAAAATGAGGTGTTTTAGAGGCATTTTTAATAATTATTATAATTAGTAACTTATAAAAGCCTTATTTATTTTAAGGTTAGTTTAGAGTAACGCTATTTTGGTTTCTTCTTTCTTAATTTTTAAAAAATAGGTGTGGTGCTAAAGTGATCATAGTGCTTAATAATTAATATTATAGTTTCATATAAATAAATTTCCAATGGAAATAGAAACGAACAAACTTTTTATTTAAGATTAAATTTACGATTTTCGAACGAGTTAGTGAAATAGCTAGAAAATGTGGGACGTACCGAGTGTAATTTAGTTGATTGGATGCCAAAAAAATAATAATAATAAATAAATAAATAGTGAAAAGAGCCAAACAAACAAACAAAGAATTTTTATAGAGAAATCAAGCTTATTGATCTGAATTATCATTGGTTAGTTAATATTAATAAAGCTCTATTAAAGTTGATCTCTTTATCAAAATTTGATACAACAATCAAAATATACCTGTTCAACTTGAATATAGCTAAACAAGTTGAGGCATCTATGTTCGATTAGAAAATCGTGAGTTCAAATCTTTCCGCCCACGTATCTTAATATATATCTGTTAATTCATTTTAGTACCTTAAAAATTAAAATATATATAAATAAAAATTAAAATGGTCACA